GTTTCGACACAGTCACAGATGGATGAGGGAGGAGAGAGAGTGTGTGTTAGATTCTGTGCAAGTCACCGCCTCTGCGGCCGGCATGCTGTGGGGTACACGGGGGACATAGTCGGAGTCGACGGTCGAACTGATAGACAGTGTCCAGATCAAAGGGAATCAACTGCCAGTTGAACCATAATACGTCAAAGACATGACGTCGCATTGAATTCAATGCAAGGACCGCACGACTTCTTCCGAGAACCTAATCTTTGAGGTGTTATATACCAGTAACACCAGGACGGTCCCGTGCCGGTATAAAGGACTACAAGAGAGAGTGCAAAACAGCTGGAGTGTTGCTATGAGGACTGTTGAAACGATCAAAAGGCGTTCAAATTCACGTAACAGGGAAATGTTCACCTTCTCAATTCAAGAAGGCTTGCCACGCCCGGCAGGGGAAGCTGCTAGAGGCCTATCTATACTTGTTAAGTATTCGCCCATATGCAAACACACATAATTTATGGGGCCGTTCGATAGGCGCCTCCACAATTTATAAACGAAGGAAAAAAACAAAATCTGAGTTTGTGATGCGGAGTCACCAAGGTGGGTGGCTCTGTGTGTCTAGTACCTTAGACAGCATATATAAAATAAGTAACAACCACCGTATCCAATGGCGACAAAAAAACAGTTTGTATGTGTGTTTATGCACACTAATGTCCACCTCAGATGCCTTAGTGGCGGCCACAGCGAGTGGAGGGTGTGCATCGATGTGCAAAGAGACGATCACGGTAGATGCGAAGTTGAGTGTAGTTTGGGTTACAGATTGAAAGGCGTCTCGAGGCGCAATCGAGGTTGCCAAGGGTGCGGGCGTGAAACCAGGATGAATCAGTTTCTAAAGGTATGTGACACTATATGTGACGAAATGATAGTAATCTCCGATAGAAGTCAATGGCGCCGTAGCAGTAAAGATTAACTCTAGAGCAGGACAAAATCGACGCCAGACATATAGGGACATGAAGTGAACAGCTTTGTTCAACAAAAATGGAAGCTGTGGAGGCGGTGCGAATGACGGCTCATTTTCAGACAAAAAAGTCATACCTATATCGGTAAACAAGGAAACCTCCGGTTGGAAAAACCGTAATGAGACATGATCAGTCATCAACAGGGGGGCTGACGAGGCAGATTCACATTGGGCGTGATAAAAAGGGGTGTCGCTAGTTGCATTCGAGTGCCTGCCTCGACCACCATGGGACAACTGTCGCCCCCTCGTAACTTGGTCTTGACAGCTCTGAGACTTTGCGCAGGTCCATCCGGCGAGACCGGACACT